TAGCCAGACGTTGTGGCGGGCGCCTGTGGTCCCAGCTACTTGGGAGGCAGAGGCAGGAGACTCGCTTGAGCCCAGGAGTTGGAGGTTGCTGTGAGCTGTGATACCATAGCACTCTACCCAGGGGAATAGCTTGAGGCTCTGTCTCAAAAAAAAAAAAAAAAAAAAACAAAGTAAGAACAAGGTATAGGCTTACAAAGCAAGAGATGTTTGCCATAGACTGCTAACCAGCCCCCACTGTCATGACAAATAAAGGCCAAGGCTAAGCGTTTAAGAGCAGTGCAGGCAACACAGTGAGAGCCCCATTTCAGCAAAACACAAAAAATAAAAAAATTAGCTGGATATGGTGGCATGGGCTTGTATTCCTAGCTAGCTACTCAGGAGGCTGAGGCAGGAAGATCGTTGAAGCCCAAGAACTCAAGATGATAGTCGCTATTATTGTGCCACTGCACTCTAACCTGTGTGAAAGTGAGACCCTATCACTTAAAAAAAAAAAAATGGTTCCCCAAAAAGGCAGTGAAGGGACTTCTCCCACATGTATACTCACAGGTAACCACATCGGTCCACACAGGTAGTAAGAGCCTTATCCAAATGATAGGTCTCTTGTGTCCTGGGCCTTTGCTCTGTTCAAGACTCCATGGTCCTACATTTGGGGCATAAGTGGTTTCCTATGAAACTTGAAACTCATTTGTGAAAGGGAACTCAAAGTTGCATGTCCAGAAACTTGGGTCTCTGAAAAGACTTTCGAGTCTTCTAAAAGACTAGACAAGTGGGCCTTGGTGACTTGGGTTCAGAGAGCCAATCGGGCTTCCTTTTAAAACATGAATCACTCTCTTTTGTGGTATTGGATCTAAAAAATGAATGGTATTAAAATGAAGACATCATATTCTCAAGATAAAGGACTGTCTATTTGAATCCAACATGGCATCATAAAATACGATGGATTAAAAAAATTTTAAACAAAATGTTGGGATTAACATTATCATTTTTATTTCAAAATGATGCAACAGCCATAACTACATATAAACTTTGGAAAAGTTCAAATGAGTAACTTCTAAGATTTAAGTCAACAAAGAAAATCAACAGAGAAATAAGTTTGGATGAATTCTTAAATGTGGAATAAAGAACTAAGTATATAAATAATGCTACAAATACAGAGAGGAAAGGAACAAGAAGTCAGTACACGTAAGTCAAAAAGAAATAAAAAGATGTTGCTGAGGCTTTTAATTTTTTCATTGGGCAATTCACTTTAGCACAGTCAAAGCAACCTTTGCGCTACTTCTACAAGCCAAAAAATTTTTTCTTTAGCTAAACTTATAGTATCCACAGGCCTGATTAGAGCACTTCCAAGCACATAAATCACCATTAACAATGCTACAAAAACAAAACACTGCCCATCCACTATGCATACACCATCTTTTTAGCTATTATCTCTAGTCAAAAGAACATATTCTTTACTATGACTAGAACCACAAACATTGCCCAGAATGACAGGTTTTATGATCAACCTTTCACTCTCTTCATGAATAAACTTCTCAGAAATAATCTAAATCAAATGTGTATAGTTTCATCAAATTCATTATTTTTAAAAACTCTGCTTATCGGCTTGGCGCCTGTGGCTCAAGTGGCTAAGACACCAGCCATATACAGCTAAGGTGGCGGGTTTGAATCCAGCCTGGCCCACCAAACAACAATGACGGCTGCAACCAAAAAATAGCCGGGCGTTGTGGCGGGCGCCTGTAGTCCCAGCTACTTGGGAGGCTGAGGCAGGAGACTCGCTTGAGCCCAGGAGTTGGAGGTTGCTGTGAGCTGTGATGCCACAGCACTCTACCCGTGGGGACAGCTTGAGGCTTTATCTCAAAAAAAAAACTCTGCTTATCATTCATTTCCCCAGTGAACATTTTGGGGTTGCATGGGTTGATCTTGTACTAAGTTGATGAAACCCAAAACTGGGTTTTCTAACTCTAAATCTAGGGTTCTTCCACTTCACCAAGGAAGATGGTCAAGAAAGAAGAGCCAGCCCTCTTCTCTATCTGGCCGCAGAACAAGCCCATAACCCTAGACAACTGTCTCCACTTGTGCCCAATCACAGATGGCAGATCAATCCAGTCAGCCACCTTTGCTACAAGAAAAGCAAAGTAAGGAGCATATCCCCCCAGTGGTAGGGACACTACTTCCACACCACTTAAACAGCCTGTACTCAGAAGCACCAACTATGGATATAGGCTCTTCATCTCTCTCAGTTGCATAAATTTCAGGCCTCATGTGCCCTTCTTCCCAGCGAAGCTAAAGTTACTGGCTACAAAACAGGCATCTGCTTATTTTGGTATAATAGAAAGAGGACATCTAACACTCTTTTTTTGTTTGTTTGTTTGAGACAGTCGTATCCTGTTGCCCAAGCTAGAGTACTATGGTGTCAGGCTAGCTCACAGCAACTTCAAACTCCAGGGTTCAAGCGATCCTTCTGCCTCAGCTCCTGAGTAGCTGGTACTATAGGCACCTGCCACAACATCTGGCTAATTTTTTTTCTATTTTTAGTATTCACAGGGATCTCAAGCTGATCTTGAGCCCTGAGCTCAGGCAATCCTCCTGCCTTGGCCTCCCAGAGTGCTAGGATTATAGGTGACAAGTCACTGTGCCTGGCCAACATCTAACACTCTTGAAAAGCTCTACAGTCTTGGGTTCAAATTCCAGCTCTATAAGTGGATTGCTCTCTGAAACTCAATTTCATCAGCAGAAAATGGAGGTGATGACACCTGTTCTCAAAGTCACAGTAATCAAAATACTCAGTTCAGTGCTGGGCAAAACATCAGGGCTCAACAAAGGTGGGTTTACTTCCCACTGACCCAGCTGCTCTGAACACCTTCTTGCTCATTTTCTGCCTTCTTAGGTCAAAATCTATATCTTACTAAATCCCTTAAATAGCCTTACCAAGTATGACCCTACCACAGCCTATTAAAATCATCTCTGTGTGGCTCTGACGGTGTTTAAGTTCAATACCCCAAATTTAATTTTGCTATTTAAAGTATGATCTATAAACCAGCAGCAATGGCATTAGCTAGAGTTTGTTCAAAAGGCAGACTCTGGGTTCCACCCTAGACTTCCTGAGTCAGAATTTATATGATACCTGAGCAGTAGTATGTTTACATCTTAAGGTTTGAGAAGCATTGTTCTATAACACACAGGTACTCGATCAGAACCTATTTACTTTCCAATTAAGATATCAATTATGGCACTTCTGCTGTTGGTGGTGCTCCTTTAATGTTTACATAGGTAGAAAGCAACCCATGGCATTTTCACTGGATAGACGGGATGATCACAAACTTCTTATTTTGCATCTTTTGGTTTAAAAAATGATGCACTAAGTACACTGGCTTCAAAGCAATATTTAAATATTCTATATCAATGCAATCTTTATTATACAATAGGTAATTTGAGTATAACATATGAACATTCTGGTTACTGTAAACTAATTAAACAACAGGTTGGAAGTATACTTTCAATGTAGTTATATCGTGTATCTAGGATACAATGAATAAGACTGATTAGCACAAAACTTCCATAAATGGAAGGTTCTCAATATAGATGTAGAGGTTCTAAAGCAAATCTTTGTCTCTAATGCACTGTGAGTTTGTGCTCATACCTTTACCCCTTGTATCAACTTTCTGAAAATGGTTCTTAGTTCTTTCCAGTTATTCATGGAAAAAAATAATTTGAGGCCTCTGACTATCACTCAGATTCCTAAAATGAATCACCCTGGATGAGGGAAACTGGTAACTTTGAGTATCAGGAAACAAAAACCAGTCTGAGTGAGTCATCTCTGTGATCAAAGATAACACAGCCACAGCCAGGGCTTGGTACAAACAAATGGCTATAGCTATCACATGCCAGGATCTCATGTTTAATGGTTTCTCACATTAAAACTCATAAGTCAGCTCTCTGAAACCAGGAAATAGAACCCAGGACACCACATACATAAAAAACTCACTCTCTTGAGTTTAGGTTCTTATCCTTCTGCTCTAAGTGATTTTGACTTCTGGTAGGTTGTTAAAAACGAAGGTGCTGTTTTATTAAGAGGCAAGCAGAAAGGTAAAAATTAACGATAGGATTGTGAAATATTTCATAAGAAAATTCAGTACTTCTTGGATGCCTATAGATTGAGGTCTTTGATCCAAAATGAACAAGATAATTCGAAGGTACCAGATGCCTGAAAAAACGTAACACAGGAAGTGGTAACAACTGCTAGAACTAGAAAAGCAGTTACTTTATTCCATGCATTCTCTATATTCACAGCTCTCTTTCAGGCACTCTAAGCTTGGGAGAGAAGATGAGTAGGCACTGCCATCTATACGCTACCCATTTCATCCCTAGCAGAATCCTCCAGAGTGAGGAGCCAGGTGTCCTGAAATCCTCTTGAACCCCTGGACAGGAGATATACACCAAGGCCAAGCCTGCCCCTTGCTGGTCAGGCTCAAAACAGAGACAATGCAAACACCAGCTTACCTTTTTCAAAAGCAGCATCTCCTATCAACACTACCTGACAACTAGGCAGGGCTCCAAGGAAAACATACACAGGTTCTACGCACAATATAAATACCTTCTCTGAAATACTAAAGACCAGTTGGGAGTAATGGTGATAAGCCCCAGCCCCTGCCTTCACAAGACCCCAGCTAAAAACAGTACAAACAAAAAAAGGGAAGTGGAAGGATAATTGGCAGAAGGAGGAAGGGCATTTGGCAGGAATCTCACCTATGGGGCACCTTGTGAGCGTGTATGACACACCTCCTAGGTGACAGGCTCTTTCAACTGGAATTTAACCCTGGAAGTGACAACTGTGTAATCTAAAAATCTGTACTCTCGCATTAATTTGAAATGAAGGGAAAAACAAGCAAACAAATAAAAACACTCCCCACAAAACTACTAAAATTTCTGAAGAACAAAATAAAGCATTCCCATAAATCTCCACACCTACCCCCATTATTTTCCCCACAGCATGAAACTACCTCATAATGAAGGGGACAAAAGGCGCCATGCTGAGAGTAGAAGCAGTGCCATCCATCGGGGAGGGGTAGAGTCTCTCCAACACCAACAGCAAGAGAAACATGCTTGTATGATGACTTGGTCCTGCCATATCACTGAAAAAAATTATTACACATAAAAGATTTAAAATTTAAGTAGTGAAAGGCCAGGCATGGTGGCTCACGCCTGTAATCCTAGAACCCTGGGAGGTCGAGGCAGGTGGATTGCCTAAGCTCACAGGTTTTAGACAAGCCTGAGCTAGAGTAAGACCCCCAACTCTAAAAATAGCCAGGCATTATGGCGGGTGCCTGTAGTCTCAGCTACGTGGGAGGCTGAAGCAAGAGGATCACTTGAGCCTGAGAGTTTGCGGTTGCTGTGAGCTGTGATGCTACAGCACACTACCAAGGGTGACAGAGTAACACTCTGTCAAAAATAAATAAATAAATAAATAAATAAATAAATAAATAAAATAAAGTAAAATTTAAGTAGTAAGGTACTATCTTCAAACATTTCTTCTCCTTAATAATTAATGTATATGAAGTAAGGGTCTCTCTGATCAAGGAGATAGTTCTCCTTTTTTTCATTTTTTTCTCCATTCACTTATCTTCCTAATGAGTATGATAGGGAAAAATTATTGGCAAACTTGTGGACCAGGCTTTTCCACACAATTCTCTTCTCAAAGCTAATCATTTGCTTAACTAGAGTCTGCAGTTTTGATTAGAGCTTTTCGTATTGTAGTAAGGTGGAAGAAATGTGAAACTTAGACATCTAAATGTATTTAAGAAGGCATGAACAGGCAGTTACTAGGGCCAGAAACGCCTCCCTGCATAAACTACTAATATGAAGAAGTGCATCATAGGCTTGGCGCCTGTGGCTCAAGTAGCTAAGGTGCCAGCCACATACACCTAAGACGGCGGGTTCGAACCCAGCCTGGGCCCACCAAACAACAATAACGGCTGCAACCAAAAAATAGCCAGGTGTTGTGGTGGATGCCTGTGGTCCCAGCTACTTGGGAGGCTGAGGCAGGAGACTCGCTTGAGCCCAGGAACCGGAGGTTGCTGTGAGCTGTGATACCACAGCACTCTACCCAGGGGGACAGCTTAAGGCTCTGTCTCAAAAAAAAAAAAAAAAGAAGTGCATCATAAACAGAAGGAAAATTCATTAATATAACTTTATTTTCCAATTCTAGACAATTACTGGACATCAAGTACAAAAATTGCTAGAATACAAAAGCACCTGTTCTAAGATGTCCATACTAAAAATTCCATAACCGATGTAAATGAAAAGACAATGGTGAACTTTTCTATCAACCCTGGTAAGACTGGAAGCCCTCTTTCTGGCTTTGCTTTGTGTTTCCATAGTCACTGGCCCTTTCTGCACAGGTAGACCACTACCATTTCCAATTGCAGGTATCCAGATTAGTTAGCTAACTTCTACAGTTTGGCAATGGCAAGCTGCAACAGGACAGGAATAAAAAATGACAGGTGCACATTAAACAAACTCAGTATTTAAGTACACTGATTTTTTTAAATACTAGGAAGAAAATAATCATGAACAGAAGAAATTATTAAGTTTCTAAGTTAGTTCCTACATACTACCGAAAAATTGAAATTTTATCAAATGTAATTTAAAAAGACTTAAAACTATAAAATACAGGGTAGCACCTGTGGCTCAGTGAGTAGGGCACCAGCCCCATATACTGAGAGTGGTGGGTTTAAACCCAGCCCTGGTCAAACTGCAACAGCAACAAAAATATAGCCGGGCATTATGGCAGGCACCTGTAGTCCCAGCTACTCGGGAGGCTGAGGCAAGAGAATCGCCTAAGCCCAAGAGCTGGAGGTTACTGTAAGCTGTGACATCATGGCACTCTACCAAGGGCAACAAAGTGAGATTCTGACTCTTAAAAAACAAATCAAAACCAAAAAAAAACTATAAAATAAAATGTAAAAACTTTACATTATATTTTTCACAACCTTTCAGGTATAATCTACTACGGAAAGCCAAGTAACATGATATAATTATAGGGTGACCAGATTTTAACATTTGTAAAGCAGGACAACATGGGGCGGGGGCAGGGCAGGGGACTGGGCAGGGCAGGGCCGGGCCAGGCCTGACAACAATGAAAACTTTGATAAGCAGTTCTCGATAACCACTTCTCAACAATTACTTGTTATTATTATAGTTTAACATTATAAAATTAACAAAAATAATATAAAACTCATATTCTGGTGAAATAGCCACATGGCAGCCAAAAAACGTATATTCCCTCCCTGTTCTCCCACCCGTTTGTGCATTCTTTCCAAAAATTGGGACTTTTTTAAAACGCCGCAGGACATGGGACAAATTGTTAAAAAGCGGGACGTCTGGTCACCCTATATAATTATAAAGAAGTACTCAAAAAAAAAAAAAAAAGCCAGGCGGTAATGTAGCTCAGTGGGTAGGGTGCCAGTCACATACTCCCAGGCTGGCAGGTTTGAACGAACCCATTGTTCGTTGGGCCAGCTAACAAACAATGACAACTGCAGCAAAAAAATAGCTGGGCGTTGTGGCAGGCGCCTATAGTCCCAGCTGCTCAGGAGGCTGAGGTAAGAGAATCGCTTAAGCCCAAGAGTTGGAAGTTGCTGTGAGCCATGACACCACAGAACTCTACCGAGGGCAATGCAGTGAAATTCTTGTCTCACCCAAAAAAAAAAAAAAAAAAAAAGCCATCTGTGTTACCAGGAAGGGAGTTATTAAAAACAGTTGCCTAGAGGGAAAATCTTGACTAATAGAGTAATTCACATTCTTGGTTTCATTTTGCCCCACCTGATTCTCTCCTTACCTGTCCACTTTATTGGCTACAGCCTCCAACTGTTTGAGAAGAAAAGGATAGAGTTCTGGGAAACGAGAGAAAAACTCTCTCCCTGTCATTCTGTGGAGGGAGGCAGGGGGAAAAAGATAAATTAGCATCATTTATTTCCTCTGATTTTATAATAAAACAGTAAGATAACCATTTGTTTTAAAGATAAGATAACCATTTTTTAAAACAGTAAGATAACCATTTGTTTGGATATTTCATGAAGTAGCAGTTAAAAAACAACAGCATCTTCTAACAATCAACAGAAGTGACACATTTGATTTTGGAAGTGTTCTTAATGCATGGACTTTTATCTAAAAATTTAAGATTATGTATTTTACAAATATTGATACTCAATTCTGTCAGGGAAGACATATGTAATATGCAAGAAGGCCAAGTTTCCACAATTGATTTCAACTATGAGTACAGTTAACACCTGATCAACTGAGACTGATTCCACTTCAGCGATTAGGGTGGGTCTTGGCATAAACGACATTTTGGACCAAATAATTCTTTGTTCTGGGGGCTGCCCTGTGCAGTGTAGGATGTTTAGCAGCCTCCACGGTTTCTATCCACCAGACACCAGTAGCACAACACCCCCCACCCCCGACACTCTGGAATCATGACAAGCAAAATGTCTACAAATACAGTAGAACCTCTGTAAACTGACCACCCAAAGGACGTTAACAAACTGGTCAACATATGGAGGTCAACGTAAGGAACTGGGCCTAGTGTACTCGTACATACATGTAGTGCGTGTTGGGTCTATGAAAATTAGGTCAACTTAAGGAGGTGGTCAATGTAGGGAAGTGGTCAACTATGGAGGTTGCACTGTGTTGCCAAATGTACCCCGTGGGACAAAATGGCCCCTGAATGAGAAGCACTGGTTTGGAGCATGGTTATCAGAAGTACAGACCTGGCATGTAAGATTCCGGAAATCCAATCTCCCTAGAACCTGTAAGGATTACCTTTTCCATGTTTATAAAAACTACTATTGAATTCTGCCAATGTGCCCAAAATAGTTCCTTGAACTGCATAACTGATCAAAAAGTTCAAGCAAAATACAGGACTTAAGAAAATATTTTGTCTCCATTAACTATTAAAGAACTCCAATTAATGGAGACCCAGAAGATTACTTTTTAAAAAAAATTCTAATACATTTTACACACAGCAAAATGCTCAGATCTTAAGGGTACCATCTGATCCAGAAATGCATACATTCGTGTAGTCCACACTCCCTTAAGACTCCACAAATTTCCATCATCCCATAAAGTTCCCTCATGTTCCTCAGCCAACTCCTGCCAAGGAACCACTGATTTGATTTCTATCACATTCAAGAATTCCATACACATCTAGAAATACTATATATTTTTCTACCTTTTTTCACTCAGCATAGAGTTCATGAGATTTATCAATATTATTCAATGTAAACAATAATGTTTCTTTTTCTTTTAGTAGTCCATCGTATGAATATACAAGTTTACTTATTCATTGTTCTACTGACAGACACGGGCTCTCTCCAGTTTTTAGCTGTTATGAGTAAAACTGCTATAAAATTCTTGTACAAAGCTTTTTGTGGACATATGTTTTCATTTCTCTTGAATTGATAACTGAGAATAAAACTGCAATATGTTTAACATTTTAGGAAACTGACAGTTTTCCAAAGTAGTTGTATCATTTTATACTCTCCCAAATTAGTGAGAGTTCTGGTGGCCCTACATCCTTTCGAACACTTGCTGTTGTCTTTTTTCCCTGTCATTTTAGCCATCCTTGTCTGCGTGTAGTGATGTCTCTTTGTAATTTGGATTTGCGTTTTCTTGATGAGTAATGATACTGAACACTTTTCCCATGACTTGCTCACTGGCATGGCCCTTTGTGAAATAGTCTATCTACTCAAGATTTTTAACCATTTTTATTAGTAGATTCCTTTTCCTTTGTCACATATATACATGGCAAATACTTTCTTCTAGGTTGCAGGTTACCAACTTATTTTCTTAATAATGACTTTTGATGAGCAGAAGTTTTAATTTTTTATCATGTTTTATTCCTTTGAAACCAAGTCTCACTTTGTTGTCCAGGCTAGTGTGCCATGGTGTTACCCTAGTTCACAGCAACCTCCAACTCCTGGACTCAAGCGATCCTCCTGCCTCTGCCTCCTAAGTAGCTGGCACTACAGGTGCCCACCATGACATTCAGCTATTTTTTTCTATTTTTAGTAGAAATGGAGGTCTCCACTTTTGGCTCAGGCTGGTTTCAAACTTCTAAGCTCATGCATTCCTCTCACCTCGGCCTCCCAGAGTGCTACAATTATAGGTACTGAGCCACCTCGCCTGGCCAAAAGTTTTAAATTTTGATAAAGTCCAATAATTAGTTCATTTCTTTCCTTTATGATTCATGTTTTCTATAGCCTGAGAAATCTTTGACTACCTAAGAATGATATGTCATACTTTCTTCTAGAATAATGGTTCTCAACCTTCCTAATGCTGCAACCCTTTATTATAGTTCCTGTGGATCATGACCCAAAGGTTGAGAACCACTGTTCTAGAAGCTTTATGGTTTTAGCTTTTATACTGAAGTCGACAATCCATTTTTGGTTAATTTGGGGGGATGATGTGACTTGGAGGTCAAAGTTCTTTTTTTCTATATTGGTATATTTTTATTGGGGAGATGCTATAAAGAAAGGCCTTCAATAGAGATGTGCTATGCTTATAGATTAGAAGATTCAATAATGATTCAAGAATGAAATTCTCTTCAAATTGATTATAAATGCAATTAAATGCCAAGAAAAACTGTGACAGAAAGAGACAGAGAAAGGGAGTAAGTGAACTGACAAGTAGAGTCTAAAAGGTATATAGACACATGAAGGGCCACAAGACTAACAAATTTAATGTTAAAGAAGAACGAGGTTGGAGGACTTAGCTAAAAATATCCTAGAACTTGGGTAGTTAGGACTCTGGGATGGATAAGTAAGCCAATAAAATAGAATAGAAAGTACAGTAACAGACATACAAAAACTTGATTCGTGAAACAGCTGATAATACAGACCACAGAGAAAAGAGTTGTTGTAAATGATTATCCATATGGACACAATTAAAATTGGATTCCAAACTCCTACTATATACAAAACTAAATTTCAGTGAAATCAAAACTTTAAAAGTGCATGAAGGAAAAAATACAAAATATATTTTGAAAATTCAGAATTCTGCCCTGACTATTTCTGGCATGACATTTCCCAATGACAACTCCAGGCAGCCTAGATGGCAAACCTTCCATATGGCAGTCTGGCCAAAGGGCCCCTAGAAAATTCTAACTTAATTCTCCTTAGCCACCTGAATTCTCCTGGAGGACTGACTTGGTCCTATATCATAAAATAATGACCACTTACTTGATTACACGATTTGCTGAGTCTTCCCAAGGTGGCCATGGGAGACATAATAAGTCTCTGTAAGTTTTATAAAAATGCCTTGTCTCTCTTGCATCTGACCATTCTAGACAAAAAGCATGGTTGCAAGTAGGGGATAACTGGGAAAAAAAGGTACAGTTATAACTACTGGAATGGGGCAGGTGATTTTGAGTCAGTGGAGAAAGAACAAGCTTGACAGTGGACGGAATAATGTTACAGGTCTCCATTTTTTGAAAACAGAACAATCTTCACCAGGGAAATTGCTCTACTGGGCTCTCCCAAATTGTCATGAGCACATTAAATTTAACTAAATGCAGAGTCTGTCATCCTTTATCAGATGGGTCTAAGCATAGTTTGATTGCATTTCCCCTAATAACCTTACAAGAAGTCTAACAGAAATTGCCTGGCCTTGGCTCTAGGACAATGGTTCTCAACCCTAATGCCATGGCCCTTGAATACAGTTCCCATGGGCTGCAACCTACAGGTTGAGAACTGCTGCTCTAGGACCTGACCCTTACAAAAAAATACCTGTTAATACCTCTGGACTCGTCTCCCTTTTCTGTAGCCATTGCTCAGTCATTGCAAAAGGCAGTAGAATGTCAGTCAGCTGTTGGTACTACAGGCAAATAGGACAGGTTGGAATGACTACACACAAGCAGTCTCTCCAAAACTGAGAGCTAGATTCAATTATTTGGACTGAACGAGGAACTTTAGGGTACCTGCTAGTAGTTAGGCCACAATGGAAGCATTGTCAACATATGCTCCTCTTCTAATGTAGGGAGCTCTCCAAATTGTAAACAAAATGTTTGCTTTAGGAGGCAGTAGGTATGCCCCTGAGACTTTTAATAACTTGCCTCCCTCTCCTAAAACATGGTGACTTGCACCTTAGGGGTGGTCATAAGAGACTTTCCATTGTTAAAGAAGACAGATACCACCAATAGTTCCTGTAGCCCTCTTATGACTATGAATATCTCTCCCAAATAAGACCATACTTTCTTATTTACAGAAGCCTCCCAGAGGTATAAGACTTCTTTTTGCACACCCTGTGGTTGGTCAGTCCCATTGTGAAGTCATCCAATTACAAAACATGAAGACCAGGAGTTTGGGGTTACAGTGAGCTATGATCATGCCACTGATCTCCAGCCTGGGCAACAGAATGAGACCCTATCCCTTATAATAACAATATTTTTAAAAGACGATATAGAAATAAAGGACAGATGTCACGGAGTTTCTCACATTACTACACATATTGCAAAGTGAAGCAGTGACTGACCTTTTCCAGACTCTATTCAAGGATTTTTATATAACAAACAGCCTTTGAAGATATGGTATCTCTCTCTGGAACAAAGGGCAGACATGTTTACTGCCCATTATAAAAGATTCATATTCCTTAACTGAGTTCTTTTCCTATAAAGCAACCCACTGTACAGATACCATTATCTATCCTTCTCTACAACTCCTTACACTGCCCTGGGGGCACTAGAGCTCAGGACACTGGCACAAAAGTGCTGATACTCTGGGTATTGGTACTGTTGTAACACACTGCTCTTCATCTCTCACCTAGGTGTCTCATGTTTTCTATTAGCATCTATGAAATTGTGCCAAGCTAACTTAATAGCTTGCAAGTAGAGTAAAATCTAAGACCCTTTTAAAGCTCTAGGCAAGAATAGTC